GTACCAGGAGCTCCTTCCTGTTGGAGGGCTTGGACACCGTGTGTCACAGCTCTTCAGCTGGGGAGAGGGTACCTGAGGGGATCGCAGACGCGGCTGTTAACTTTTCTCCAGAGCGGTGCTGTGGTTGTTATTTGCTCCACCAGGGCAGCCCAGGGGACCTTGCTGGTTGCAGCCCTGTGTCCTGGGGCTTCCCACAGAGCTTTGCCCTGTCTGGTCTGCAGGCCGCGAGGCTGGGTGAGATGAAAAGACATCGTTCACACTTAATGGTGACTGGAACGCTCTCTCTATAAAACCAGTTGATGTGGAGACCAATTCATAAGCACTTCACAGTCCAATGAGGGATGGCAGATCCCTGGTATTGACCCTTTAATTGGCTCCCCACCAGGGACAGATTTCTTCTGAGACAGTTCGCAGACCTGGGGCGGGGGTGGCCAGGCCCAGCGCTCACCGGTTTGGGCCTCACCTCCTCTCTCTTGCTGAATTCTGACTCACGCCGAATTCTGACTCCCCCTTTCCACAAGTATTTACGCACCATGTCAGGCCTTTCCCCAGGCTGTTCACAGAGATATTGTGATTTAATCCTCAGGCTTTGTCAGCATTCACTGACAGTCTTCTGCTTGTGTCTCTCGGGCCGGAATGAGCTAAGCGCGACCCTTGCTATAAGGTGGTCTGGGGACACCTGAGACGCTCTTCCCGGCTCCCTTGTTGGAGGCAGCAATGGGGAAGACGGAGGGAATGGGCGTTACAGTAGTCAGCTGGCATTGTTTGGTCCACAGCTACCACTGTGGTCCCCATTATGCAGAGTGGGAAACTGAGTCACACGGAGAGAAGTAACTTGCTCAAGATCACTGAGCGAGAAGGGATGGGGGCCTGGTTAAAATCCCAGGCTGACAACACCCAACTCTATGCTGGTAATGACCAGTTCTCCTGTGGAGACCCTCCCAGGGAGAGGGAGAAGTAGGTGGTCCCGTGGTATGTGAAGAGACAGAACGTAAAAACGACGGTCACCTATCTCAGGGAGAGAATGGTACCGAGGACGGGTCCAGGACTCTGCCTGAAATGGACATATTGGAGGATCACCCAGAAATATAAATAATACTATCAAGTTTTTAGGGGACTTTGCCTATTGGTTCCAATGCTAATAACAAACACGTATTATCATCTTCCTTTAAAATGAGATAATGGAGGCTCACAGAAGTTATATGATTTGCCCAGAGTCCCAGCTGGACACAAACTGGGTCTGTGTGGCTTCAAAGTCCAAGCGATGATTGTGTTTTCTCCGCACTGCCTTCTTCCAAGGAAAAGCCAGAACAGGAGGCACCGGCTGGCTTCTGTGAATCGCATGTTGTTGGAATTCCTGTCCTTCCTCGACCCAGATTTGTAAACAGAGGCTTCCGAAGCCAAAGTACACAGGGGCAGATGCGAAGAAGCAATCCAACCCGGAGAAAGTCACATGTGTCCCGGTGGTGCAAGGCCTGAAGCCTGTGTCCCCAAGGACTCCTGCTGAGTCCCCGTTGGGGCTGCCCCGGGCCTGGGGGTCTGCAGACGGCTGGAGCCTGGGCGGTCCGGCCGGAGGGCGCGGCCAGCGGACAGAGCTTCCTTTGCCTCTTCTGGGCTCTTCGCTGAGTCCTTTTAAAGGGAAGCGGGAGCAGGGAGTAAAAGATATTTGTCAACTGGAACTTTAATAACAGCTGCCATTTACTCACTCATTCAAAACAACTGCTGGTGCCCCTGCCAGGTGACAGGTTCTGTCCTAAGCGCTGAGGAGGCAGCAGGGATTGAAGCAGAATCCCTTGCCTTCAAGGAGTTTACAGTGTAGTGAGACAGACAATTGGGAAGATGCGTGTACATGTATAATGGGTGCTATACAAAGAAGGGGTGCCTAGTAAAGGGATAAAGACTAAAGAGGCCGGGGACACCTGTTTTTAGCAAAGAAGGTCAGAGGAGACTGGGCTCAGTGACACAGTGAGCAGAGGTCTGAACAAAGCAAAGCAGAAGGCCGGGGAGATAGCTGGGGCTTGGATGGTCTTGGCCAAGAGGCAGCAAGTTCAAATGCCCTGACAAAGGAGCGGGGTGCCTGTCTGGGGCGAGCAGAGAGCCGGATGAGTGGGGAGGGTCGAGAGACCAAAGCAGATCCTTGAACCCCACTCTGGACCTCCACAATCAGAATTCTGAGCCCTCCAGGTGTTTCTGATGCCCGCTAAAGTCTGTGAAACCCAGTTCTAGGGCAGAGATGAGCAAACACTTTTTCTAAAGGCAGATAGTAAATATTTTAGGCTTTGCAGATCAGATGGTCCTTGTTGCAAACACCCGCCTCTGCTGGGTAGTCTGCAAGCCGCCAGAGACGACACAGAAATGAGTGGGTGTTGTTGAGTTCCAGTAAAACTTATTTTATTTGTTTGCTAACGTCTGCTCTAGGAGACTGGTTTGGTCGGTTGTTGCTGTGTAACAAATCATCCTAGTACTCAGTGACTTCAAATCACAACCATGTTTTGCTGCTCTGATATCGGCAGCTTCACTGATTGAGTCTAGGCTTGTCAGAGGAACGTGGGGTGGGGAACACACACTCTGTCTCTAGGGAAAAGAACTGTAGTCTTGTGGCAGAGGGCATGGATGAGGCCAAAAAGAGGGATGAAGAATTGGGACCAATAACTCTGTTTGTGATGGGGATTAAATAAAGCAACATCTGCCAAGTGCCCAGGAGTATCTAGGCATATGGTCAGTGCCTTGTAAATGCTGGCTACTGTTATCACGATTATTAGTGGTATTAATAATTATCCCTTCTTTGATACACATCAGGGCTGGCAATTGGATGAAGTCCATTCTTTGGGAAGGCTATTATGGATATCTTCAGTGATGGGTGTTCCTTACCGTTAGCGTTTATGACAAGGGGTGTAGGGACTCGTCCGTGTGAGCAGCTTGCGCTTGGCAATGTAGTTTGCTCTCGGTGCTGGGAGGCTATTTGTTTAGAGGAGGCACTAAGCCTGGCTTGTCACTTCCTCATCAGGTGCTGCTCAAAAACAGATAAGTCGTTCCCAATAGCCCGGGCACAGTGGGAATTAAGAACTCACACTCTGGTTTGAAAGAAGAAATGGGTTGCTTGATTGGAGCTCAAATAACTGGGTGTTCTCAATGAACAAGAGTATGTTTGGGGCACATCTGAGGGGGAAGAGGCAAACGAGGACGTAGCAAACTGGTCTTGGAGATTCACTCTATCAAGTAATGGCTAACGCGCAACGTGTCCTGGCTCAACACAACTTTGGTCCGACTCCTTCACCAGCAGCTCCCACTTGGTCTCTGCAGACCATGTGCACTGAGATCACTTGGGGGCCTTAGCAACACAGACACATCTATGGGGCCTAACCCTTAGTGATCCTGATTTGGGAGGGGAAGAGGGAACACTTTTGCTTTAAAAGCCTTCTGGTGCTCATGATGAGCAGTCCGGCAAGGGTGGCACTGGTCTCCCATTTGTGCATCACATGTATTTACACCGTTGCACAGAAGCCAGGGTTCCCACTCACACCTGATGGGAACTGGAGAATTCTGGATTCTCGGCTCTTAAGGAGCAAAAGCTACGTCTTATTCATCCTCATAGCCCGGGCAAGGTCCTTGGAGAGGCGTGAGGTTACGTCTAGCATTTACAGGGCTTTCGCTTTACAGGACAGGAGACAGAGGCCCAAGAAGGCTAAGTGACTCTCCCAGGGGTGTGCCAGTGCTGCGTCCCTGACTCTGTGCCCCCTGCCCCTCGGGGTCTGGCCCTTCCAAGCTTCTTCTTGGGAAGGGAACTCCCATGTATGAAACATCTCTAACATGTCAGGCCTTGTGCTAGGTGTTTTAAACATGTTATTTCATTTTCTTCTTTAAGAAATAAAACTTGTTAAATTAGCATTATTAGCTCCACTTTATAGACCAGAAAATCTGCTGAAAGTCACACAGCTAATGAGTGAAGGAAGTCCTGTAACAGTAAGCTCTTGGAGCTCCCTTTACACAAGACTGAGAAACTTCCCATATCATTGACATGTACATCCCTAGGCCCCCAATTCCGGCGTCTTCTTTAAATTAAAAAAACACCCAACAACCAGCTTTATCTACGCATAACTGTCATATAATGAGCTTATTATATTTAAAGTACACAGTTAGATGGATTTATACTTGTGAGACACTAGGTATAGTGCCTGGCACATGACAGGTGTTCATTTCATGATGGCAATTACTATCAGAACAGTGGGAATCATAACTGTCATCACACAGAGGTATTGGGAGGATCAATGGGAGGTGTCACAGAGCCTGGCCAACGAGCAGGCATTCAGTAAGTGGTCATGCCTCCCACAGCACCTTCACCAACCACCTGCTCCAACAAGAATGGGAGGCCTAGGATGACACTCAGAAGGTAGGACCCGGGAATGGCGCTCACAGATGGCAGGTGGGTCGCTGAGTCATGGTGAGGAGCAGAGAAGGAAGAGATGAGTTGGTGCCCTGGGAGGGAGGCTGCTGGGCACTTGGTAGAGTAGGGTTTGGACAGAGGAGGTCAGGGCTTTGATGGGGATGAAGGGGGAAAATATTCTGAGATGTAGGGAGGACAAGTGTGTGCGTGCTGGTGTGTGTGAATGTGTGTGCATGTGCGTGTAAAATAAAGCTCAATTCAGCATGTATTATGATGCCCTTGTGGTGTGTCTATCCTTGTACTAGATGCCCGGAGGAAGGCAGAGGGAAGCATCGTCAGTGGAGAACTGACCCACAACCACATAGTCCCTTCTCAGCGCTCTGCATATGAGCATTTCCAAAGCACTTTGCCATTGTCTTGTTGCATCTTCTGGAGTCCCAAGGTTTGGTTATTAGCATCTCCATTTTTACATATAAGGAAATAGAGGTTTGGCAATACAAAAGGCAGGATGAGCAATAATTTGGTGGCCAGGCAATATGAAGACCAGAGCTCAGGCAGGACAGGTGTTGGCTGCCGTGCCAGTCCAGCCCCCTTAATGAGGTCCAAAGAGTTGACTCCGAGTACCCTGCTTTTTGGTCATCTCACCCACCGTTCAAAACCTGTCCAGGATGCTGCCTCATTTGGAAGCCTCCCCGACCCATCCGTAGCCCAGAAAAGTTAAGCATTTCTGTTAACGTTGAAGCATCCCCCAAGGTCGTATTGTTGTTCTTATTACACTCTGTTCCCTCGTATTTCCTTTTCCAATGAAGCAATGAGGGTAGGGACGGTCTTCTGCGTCCCAATGTCTTCCATGGTGCTCAGGAATTGGGGCGCTTAACAAATATTGTTTAGTGGATGATTCAATGAATTCATGAGTGAACAGACTAGGTCGGACAGATCTCATGGAAGGATAGGAAGTTGGGTTTGGCTTTGAAGTACTGCTCAGAGTTAGAGGGGCAGAGAAGAGAGCAAGGATGTTCCCAATGGAGACCACTCGAGGAACAAAGACCTGAGGCAAGATGGGGATCCTCACGTCAGTGACCTAGAAGAAGGCCAGGCTGTGGTAGTTTCCAGTTCAGGGAGCAGTTTGATACAAGGCTGAAGTTGGAAGCAGAAAGCCACGATGTAGCCCCTGCGGGTCCCAGATTTCTCAGATGACACTCAACTATTCCTCTTGTATTTGGGGCTGCTGCTCCTTAAGACTTCCTCTTTGACCTGGAACTTGCTGTGCTGATTCATGCCTCAGTCACTGCCAGTCGGGATTTTTCTCCAAAGTACTATTCTAGAAACCCCCACTCCCCCCAAGGCAGACACTTCAGCTGTCATTAGATGCTTATTAAGGGAGTGAGTCAGGGTGGTGGCTTAAGACACAGTTTCCATCCTGCTTCCATGCCCCCTTCCTCTCATACCCCTGCCACGCTATTTCAAGCACTCAAACTCACAAGCTTTGTGGGGAGTGGAAAGAACATGAGGTCTGAGCTTCCAGACTTCTTGACAAATCTGTTCTGCAGTTCATTTGCTAGGTGAACTTGGATAGAGTGCTTATACACTCTGGGCTTCCGTTTCCTCAACATAATGCGAGGCTGTTGTAAGGACTGAATGGGGTCAAGCATAAAGGGCTCTGCATAGGATTTGGGGTACAGCGGGTATGCAGGAAGTACCAACCGTGCCTGTGGTTTGAGGCTCATATGCTCTGATTCTCCCCACTTCAGGATAGAGATGACAGAGCCATTTTGATGTGGGTCTCCAACAGGATCCTGGGAAATCATTCCCTCTTTCCTTCCTGGTTGCCAGGTATGGACCATCCCTGCAAAATTCCTTTCTGTGGTTCTCCGGGGTGGGAGGGACTCAGCTCAACTGCTCTGGAAACAGGAACCATTCACAGCTTCCTGGTCAGCTGCCAGACCCCATACCACAAGGCCACAAGAGCTGGTTTCTGCTTGGTGGATTTCACTGAGTTGTCTGTCCTGACACAGAGACTCGGGTCTTTCTTCGTATCAACTCTGTGCTGACATGAACAGGCACCACAGCAAGGACCTTTTACCCGAATGCCCTACTCAGAGTTGATGAGGCTGTTTGTGGAATTTGCTCGTTTCCTGACATCTAGATGGGCTGTTGGCCTCTGCTGAAGGACTCATCCATCTAGCAGCCCTTGACTCTTGTGCGGAGTTCCTACTCTCCCTTCGATTTCCCCACCAGGTGCTCATTCTAGCAGTCCCCTTGGGCACAACCATGCACTAGCATTTTCCTGCCTCTTGTACATCCAGCTCGCTCCCAGCAACACTTAGAGTCTGTTCTCCTTTTGCCCATACCCTGTGTCCACAGCACTCGAAGGTGTCCTGTTGGGGACCTCATCAGCCCAGCGATTCTCTGTTAGACTTGAACTTCCTGTTGTTAAGAGTTAATGGCATACATATGCCATCCTTCTTCCTAGGCAAAAAGAACCACTCTCACTCCCAAAAAATTAGCTCTAAGGGAGGGAGCTGAGGCACTGAAGTGAGAGTCATAAAACCACTCATGGGTTTTGTAATCTTGGGCAAATCACTTCACTTCTTTGAGCCACAAGCATCCATATTTGAAAGGGTGGGACTGATGCTAATTGCCTCGTGTCCCTCCTCCCTCCACTCGCCATTCACTGTGAGAATCAAATGAGATAATGTCTGTGAAAGTGCTCTGTAAACCAGAAGCTATTATTATGAGGAGCCGACCCATTATTATTAAGAACTGGTTTTCCTGGTCCTCCTAGCTCTCCCTCCCTCTTCATTCCCTATACTGGCTTAAGGCTGAAGCTCTGCAGAGGGATACCTTTGGGGCCAGAAATTAGAAAAATTCTGCTCTGCTTACCAAGAGAGTCTTCTGAATTGCTATGATTTGAGCTTGTGGAATCAAAGAAGAAGGATACAGGGTTCTGACACCAGAATCTTTCTTGGCTTGGCTTTTCAATTTTCTTTCTTTCTTTCTTTCTTTCTTTCTTTCTTTCTTTCTTTCTTTCTTTCTTTCTTTGTTCTTTGTTCTTTCTTCCTCATGCCCAGTGCAGGGGGGCTCCAACTCATGACCAAGATATCAAGACCTGAGCTGAGATCAAGCATTTGACACTTAACGACTAAACCATGCAGGCACCCCTTGGCTTGGCTTTTTAATATCTTAGGGGCAGCTACCATGTCAAGCTCCACCCAGTATCTGGAAAGAGAACCCAATTCATCTGGGTGTCCTGGGGCTGCTTCCAGTGTGGGTGGACTTGGAAGGTGTGGCTCCTGATTTTCGTGGCTCTGTCCACTCTCTGTGTCCCATTGCCATTCTCTTGTTGGGGCTACCACCATTTCCCGGAGGCCTCCGCCTCCAGGCTTGCTCCCCCTTAGTCCACTCATGTTCCCAGTGACCTCTCTGAATGCCAATCTCTTCATATTACTTGTTGGCTTAAACCCTGCATTATGGGTCCACATAGTCCTCAAGGTAAAGTCCCATTGTTCTACCAGGGCTCCTGCTGAATTTTCTGGACTCACCATGACCTCTCACCCTCTCCTTCTTAACTCCTAAGTAATTCTGCTCACCCAGGACCTTGTTCTCTGTTACCACCTCCTCTTTCTGTAGGGCTCAGCTTTCTGTAGATGCCACCAGTTTATGAAGCTTACCCTGACTCCCCTGTAAGGTGTTCCCATCACATCTTGCTTTTCTCCTCTGTTATGGACTTTTCACCCTTAATTATCATCATGTATTAGGATCTGTCTCCTGCCAGAATCTGGAAGCTCCGTTAGGCCAGCCACCACCATGTTCTTGCTCAATCATAGCCATGGCACCTAGTCTAGGGCCCAGCAATGAATGAATGGGTGAATGGAATGTGTGAGTCAGTCAGTGTTCCACACTTTGTCTCTGGGAGCTGGGGTGCCCAAAGGTCTTGGGTAAACTTCGGTGGGCTCATTTCAGAGAAGAACTAATATGTTCTGAAGCAAAGTCTGAAAACTTTGATGTGTTTCTTCTAGACCTTTCTTTCAGCAGGTGCTCAACATTTATTGAGCATAATCTGTGCTGGGCTCCGTGCTGAGCATTTTACAGGAGTTGGTTCCTTTGATGTTCATGAGCATGCTCAGAAGTGGATGCAGTTATTATCCTGCCTGTGGTTCAGAGTGGTTGAGTCACTAGCCCAAGGTCACACAGCCAGCAAGTGAAAGAATATTCTTGAGCCCAAGTCTGGTTTCCTCTAAACTCATGCTTTTCATCACTATACCTGGATGTAAGTGTTTTGTTATCTGAAAGACCTGGGTCTCAATTTCCAGAACTTACCAGCTGTGTGAACTGAGGTAAGTTAGTGTATCTCCTTGGACCCTATCCCTTAGTAGTGTTCTGTGAATTAAACGAGGTGATGTTTGTAAAGTGCTTGCTTTTCAGTAGGCTCCCACGTTGAGCTTCCTACCTGGTGGGGAACTTAACCATTTCTTGAGGCAGGTTAATTAACACATCCTTTGACAGTTGAGTCCGTGGGAAAGTACTTTTGCACATTCGGCAGAAGTCTGCCGTCCTTCGGTCATACCAGCTCAGGACCGTTGGAGGCAGTTCTGTTCCTATGCTACAGGCTTCTCCCCAGCCACTGAGGGCATCTGTCCTGTCCCTATTCCTGCTTCTAGAGCCTCACTTCTCTGGGGAGGACAATTTCAGTCAGTCCCTCCACACCTTTCTCATGGAACAAGGCTTGAAGTCTCATCATTCACCCAACTGCTAGTCTAGAATAAGCCCCACTGCTTCTGCACCTCCTTAGGTAAAGGCTGAGACAAAGATACTGCAGTGAGGATACTTCCGACAGCATTGATTGCATTTGTGAGAAATTTGGAGAAGAGGATTAAGAGGTTCAAAGTTCCAGTTACAAAATAAATAAGTCATGAAAAGTATAGCATACAGAGTATAGTCAGTAATACTGTAATAACATCATAGGGTGACAATGAGAGGACCACGTAATATACAGAGTTGCCCCATCACTATGTTGCACACCTGAAACTGATATAACATTGTATGTCAGCTCTACCTCAATAATAAAAAAAGTTAAAAACATCTTAATGTAACCACTTAAATATTCAACAATAGGGGATTAAATGGTAGGGGTACAGCATGTCCATAGTCCATATGAACAAACACTAAGTGGCCACAAAGAACAGCTAGAGGAACAAACATTTATTGATGCGGGAAAGTGGTTACGGTGTCTGGACAAATGTAAAAAGTAAATGTAGAATGCAATGCACGATCCCCAATTTTGAACAACAGTATTCATCTCTGTATGAAAGAAAATCTGAAAGTATTTAAAAGGGTAAAAGTGCTTATCTCTGGGTCATGAGGTTATGGGGGATTTTCTTCTTGTTCTAAATTTTCTATTGAGGGAGGAAGTATAGCTTAGTGGTTATGAAAATGGACTTCAGAATCAGGCCAACCTGGCGTTGGTCTATTTTCTGCCACTCGAGAGCTTTGTCACCTTGGTTTCATAATTTGTAAAGTAAGGAGACTAACAGTGCCTCGTCTTATTATTGCTGAGGACATGATGAGACTGGTTTTGTTTTTGGAATGTTTAATGGGTGCCAGCACTCTGCTAAGCCATTGACTTGCATATTCTCTATCATGAGCTCCGCTCTACAAATGAGGGAACTATGTCCAGGGAGACTAGGAACCTGTCTTCGGTCCTACATGAAAGGGGGCGATGACTTTCCCCATTCTCAGCACCTGAACCCCTTCAAGGGTGCTGAAGTTCAAATCTGTCCTGCCATCCACATCTCCCTGCTGACTCATTCTGGACCCACTCTGACTAAAATCCCCAGACATTTTCATACTGGTCGTGTCTCCATCCTCTACTCGTGCTTTATTGCTCTCTCTCTTTTTTGTTTTTGGACTTGAGTGAACTTATTATGGAGCTGACAGGTGGATGAGAAGCCTGAGCATTCAAATCAAATCATTAACTATGAGGAAGTCCAAGAATAAGCCTTGTAATTTGGTAGTGAGAAGTTGCTGATCACACCTACACACACTGGAGAGCCCAAGGGGGAGTAAAATGCATTAGCTTTGCATTTTCCTTTTCAACTCAGCCGGAAAGAGCAACCTCTCCTGATGTGAGAGTGTAAGTGGAGAGGCCAGGACAGGTCTAGGGAGGTGTCATTGGCAGAGCTCCCCGGACACAGTGGTCATTGGAACTGAGTGTGCGACACACCTTTAAAAGCAGGAGCTTGGGGCGCCTGGGTGGCGCAGTCGGTTGAGCGTCCGACTTCAGCCAGGTCACGATCTCGCGGTCCGGGAGTTCGAGCCCCGCGTCAGGCTCTGGGCTGGTGGCTCGGAGCCTGGAGCCTGTTTCCGATTCTGTGTCTCCCTCTCTCTCTGCCCCTCCTCCGTTCATGCTCTGTCTCTCTCTGTCCCAAAAATAAATAAACGTTGAAAAAAAAATTTTTTTTTTTTAAATAAAAAAATAAAAGCAGGAGCTTGGGTGCCTGGCAGATTTGAGTTGTGACTCCTGCTTTGTCACTCATGGGCTGTGTGGCCCTGAGCATGTGATTAAGCCCTCTGAACTTCATTTTCTCATCCTCAAAATGTAGCCAGTGGTGCTTATTTTGTGCACGTTGCAAGAGGATCAATGTGAGATCATGCAAGTGACAGGCTCCACTGGTTCTGCGACCAATTTTAGTGGTGGTACCTCTTCTCTGGAAACCTTCCGTTCCCCACTGACTCATCAGTAAATGTGGAAGGATGGGAGAATCTGAGTCCCCAGAGGCTCCATGATTGGAGCGGGGAAATCACACAGCACAGCTTTTTAGTGCTGCTGAGGAAGAAAGAGAGCTCTTGAGGCCAGAGTGGTCCAAACACACCCTTTATCCTCATTTTGACACAATTATTTTATCTTTCAAATTTTATAATCAATGTGTGTTTGTGGTGAAAAAAAAAAAAAGAATCAAACTATTCAGAAGCATATAGAGAACATAGTAAACATTCCTTTTAATTGCCGTGCAATCCCGTTCACGTCTCCAGAGATGACCACTGTGAAAAGTGTGTGTGCACCTTTCTAGATGTTTTTATTTTTATTTTATTTTTTACTAGAGATCTGAAACATACTCAAACACAGACTTCCTCGCCCATGCTACAAATGTTTTGTGACTTGAATGTTCATGAAACTTTCGTGAGGAAAATAAAAGGTTGGCTCAGGACGACAGAAGGATGGGCTCCTCCATGTTTGTTGTTTCCCTCTAGCTTTGCTGCCCAGGGTGGATGTTGAGGAGCCTAGATGCTTAATTGGTTTGGAAATGGCTGGGGAGCCTCTTGACCCTTCTATAGTTCCACATGGCCCAAGCTTCTAGCTGCAGATCTTGGGCTGCTGCTTTGGAGGACCAACCATCTCCTGAAGGACTCGGTCCCTTTGGCCAGAATGATCCTTCCTCTTCCAAGAGGAAACAAGACAGGCCTAGGCGGAAATATGCGTCTGGATGACCAATTGCATGAGTCAAAGGTACTTGTGGAGATGACCAACATTATTTTAGCACATATGCCATCCCCACAGGAGGAAGGACAGCTGCTTCTGCTTTTCTTGTTTTCTTTTGAGAGGAGATGAAAGTCCTTCAGAGATGGTACTGGACCCCACACGGGGCAATGGCTTCTATTTAGGGGGTAACATTGGTACCCATGCTCTTCATAGCTGCTCAGTTTTATACACTGTTCTTAATTGGGGTCAGTCAAAACACTCTTGGGAATGTTGGAGTACAACAAAGGTTACATGGATTCCCGTTTTATAGCTTCTTCCCCAGCCCCACTCTCCCAAGCCACTTGCTGTGCAATGTGATTGTCACTAAAGGCAGGGCACCAAGCCTTAGACTTGTTGGGCACCTCGCTGCTACTGCTACACTGATTTGCTCCCACTGTCTGTATTCTGATGACCTTAAATGTATTCATTTGCTCATCAGTCAAAATGTTTTCAGGTGATACTACTTGCTAGGCTCTGTGCTACGTACTGTACGTCGTGTGGGCACAAAAGAGGAAGTGACCAGTTGTCCGTAGACCTGCGGCAGGGCCAGGCTTTCAGCACGGTAGGTATTTGAAGAGATTTTCAAGTGAGGAATAGAATGTACCAGGCAAATGTGGTAGAAGGGCATTTCATAGAGGGGAAGCAGTGTTGACCAACATGGGTGATACGGGACCAGGGGGCAAGTTTGTTGGGGGTGAAAGTCATGGCCCAGATGAACGGACCAGTACAAGTTGTCTTCCATAGACAAAAATCCCAAACATCATTAGAGAAGGATCTCTTTTCACTCTGTCAAACTTGAGTTGCTTTGAGCGCTGATTGACTCAGCAACGATTTACTCAACAGCTACTATTTGCTTCGCACTGTGCTGCATGCTAGGGATGTAATGCTGACAATTTTCTTTTGGCAATTTTCCTAAAAGCCCAGTAAACAGTGTTAAAGTTTAACCTGGAAGTGATCGTTACTATCTTCAACCCATGACAAAGCATCTTTCTACTTCAGGGGCATCTATGGTGAGGCTGGCATTATTTTTTAAGCTCTGGACAGTGCAAGGGAGAATTTGACACACTTCTTTCACTGTCTTCTCGGAATACTAATCTAGATATGAACGTGACTCATTGTTTTATCTATTGACAATATGTCAGTGTGACCACACCCTGTCTTGTGATGGATAGCTTATGAATGCCTTTATAGAAGTCATAATCGTGGCTTTGAATGCCACCACTTGAAAGCTGTCAGCCCTTTTGTGCCATGAGGAGACAAGAAGTTTTATCAGACTGCTGGAGAAGAACAAGGTGGTCGATGTCCAAACTATTACATTCTGATGCCTCCATAAATAAGATGCCTGTGTCACAGTCAGCCCGCAATCAGAACAGCAATGAGATCTGCCCTGACGTCAGTGTCTCGCCCTTAACCCCCTCCCACCTTCACGTCCTGCTCCCTAGCTCCAGAGATTAAAAGGCAATAAGCTGAATTCTGAACACCCTACCTTTAGTCTCACTCACCTCGGCTGAGTGGTCTCTCACCCACCTGTCAGTCTTCCAAAAAGACACACTTGCCCTCATTCTAGAATCTTCTTTGAATAGCCCTTTCACTTGTCACTTCAAGTGTCTTCTTGGTCGACAAAACTGCAAACCCAGACGGGCAATCAGGAATTAAGGGCAATGGTGGTTTGGGATTATTTCAGCTAATTGCTGTCCTGTGTGAGAGATTGCATCATCTGTGACAGCTGGCCTGAGTAATCATCGCTTTCAGCAGCAAGTTTTCCCCTTTGGTGCAGGAGGGACTTTCAAGACTATTTTGACCAGTGTATCCTACAGAGCAGTAAATCCGAAAAGGGATTGCAGATATTTTGTTGTGTTTTTTGGTGAGAATTAAATAGGAAAAAGCCACCAAATTTCTAGTTTACAGTAAATGTTTGGTTTAGTTTAGGTGTTTTTATTTTCTAGAACCTGTGTATCCCTGATCCTCACACACAGTGTTCAGCACTCAACTCCATTATTCTCCACTGTTGATGGCACATCCCCTGTGATGCCTTTCTTTTTTCTCTCCTGAATTTGGAGGTAGAGACGGAGTGACGTGGTTTGTATATGGTAACTCAGAACGCTGCACCAACCATTAGTTCTTTGCTGGCTGGGACACTGAGCTTTGGAGCATGCTGCGAGGTCTAAGTGGGCTTTCTGGGTATGCTGGGTTATGTCTTCATTTATACTAGAGTGGCAAGGATTGCTACCTTGAGTAAGTCAAGTGGGAGGAGTCTCTGGGCAGGGGACAGAATAGGGAATCAGATATCCATGTATATGTCTCTTAGAGTTCTTTGGAAATACCGTAATTATAGCAGGTTCCCCCCCCCCCCCCCGCCTTAAACTGCCAAGTACAAACCCAGAAAAGGAGGAAGTTAATTCACATTCTTGCTTTCTTCTACAGGCAAAAAAAAAAAAAAAAAATCACCAGCCTTTTCCCAAGGGCTCATTTTCCATCTCTGCTTGGCTCATCAGAGTATATTGTGAGCCAGTACAAAGACCTTGAGGGAGGAATGCTGTCTAGAGCTCACCGTTTTTTATCCCCACCTTCCTTTATGTGAAATTGGGCCACCTCCCTGCTAACCCCAGCCTGGGCTCTGCCTCTGCTCCCATGACGGATATGTTTCGAGTAGATGCAGCATGCTGGGCCACACAGGGAAGCTGCAGGGGGTGTCCAAGTTCACATGTCCTGCATTCCAGGCGAATGTTTTTGACATTGAGCAATGGAATGACTCTGCCAGGTTTAGGTCTGTCCGATTGGAATGCAACCGAAAAGGAAAGTCCCGGAGTGATTCAAATCCTCACCTCCCCACAACCCCTGCTTGTTTTTTTTTTTTTTTTTTATTCTTTTTTAATTCTCCAATGACAAACTCAGCCCAGCACTCCTACTGACCCTCAGCACTTGTTGGTGCTGATAAGTGCAACTTCCCAACAGATAGGACTACAAATCATAATATTTCGTTGAGTCATGTGTACGCTGAGGCTCTTTCCCAAACATTGCATCAGACTCATAATGGGCAGCTCCCAGGACTCTGCTGGATGACACTGAATGTCCAGGAAAAGCTCAGTCCATTTCTCGAAAAAATGTACTCTCACTCTCTCCATCTGCCTGGTTGTAATATCCTGTTCTTGAGAAAGCTGAACCCCTGGAGGGAGCAAAGGCACAACCGGTTTTGCAGATAAGTTTGAAAAATAGGACTGTTGGCCTTTCCCACCCACTCTGGTCTCTTAGCAACAGGACAGCTGATGGGATCCACTAGGGAAAAAAAACACAGAACATGTGGGGGAGCCTGTCTGAATTCTTGCCTGCAGTCTGATTTATTTAAACCTTCCTGCATTCTTAGGAATGAAGACCCAGGAGTCACGTCATGGGAGCATTCTCCTGCCCTTCTTGTGACCTCTGCGAATGAGCAGATAGGGGAAAATCTCAGAGTGAGGTGGACATTCTTCCTCTGTAAGAATCTGCCTTATCTGAGACAGCCATTTCCTTCGATTTGGGGAGTAACCACTTGAAAACTTGGGAACATTTACAGAGAGCTGGGGTGAGGTGGAAAGAGCATAGGACTGGGTGTCTGAGGTCCATGGTTCTAATGGAGACTGTCTCCCCTTCCCCGTGGGACCCCAGGCATGAAACCCTGGTGCATTCACCTCCATCCCGTTTGGCTTTCTCATCTGCAAAGAAGGGAGCTGAATTAAATGTTCTCTAAGGTATCTTTCAGCACTGAGTCGATGGTGTGTGTGTGTGTGTGTGTGTGTGTGTGTGTGTGTGTGTGTGCGCTTGCATGTTGTGTCTGTGTGCATTCACAGAAAATTTATATTATGTCATGTATCCATCTGATTCTCTCTCTTGAACTTTTGAGTCATTCAGTCATAGAACACGAATTTTTGCCAGGACTGTGTTCTTAACCGCTCTCCTTTACTATTGGGATGTGTACACAGAGATGCTCTGTGGTTGGTATTCTATGTTACATCTGGCAGTCTTTATGCCTACATCTATTAATCTGTGGGTATAGAATTGGGGAGATGCAGAGTACTAGGGCTTTAATACTCAGCGAGATCTGGGTTCACATTCTTTCTCTGCCTCTTACTAGTTACGTGGCATCAGGATTCTCAACCGTGAAGTGGGAATAATGAAGGCTATGTGATCAGGTTGCTCTGAGAATTAGGCAAAATGATGTGTGTAAGACAGCTGACAGTCTAAAACCCCTGCTACATAGTAAGTGCTCAATGAAAAGGGGAGCAGAGTCGAGATATGGATTGATGATAGGTTCTCTGATGAGAGGACTTGCCTTATATCATGACTTCAGGTTGCTGGAACTTCTCAGTGGGGCTCTGCATCTAGGAGGAGCACTAAATCGTAGCTAAGATAACCAGTGGAATGTGGCTCTGGTTGGCTGTTGCTTACGCATCTTGAATGGTCTTCAATCATTTTCAAAATGCAAACAATTGCATTTTAGAGCACTTTTTCTTTCTTTGGACAGATGTTCTGAAGTTGTTTCTCTCTCCATTCCTGTCTCTGTCTCTTTCCTTTTGTAGAGGAATTAATGCATAGCAGGTACCGGGCCAGGTGTTTTACATTCATTATTTCAACTATCCTTACAGCAACTCTCTCCAAGAGGTTTTGTCAGTCTCATTTCACAGCAGAAGATCTTGAGGTTCAGAAAATAAGTCATCCAAGACCATTGTTAAGACCTCAGCTGTTAAGTGACAGAACAAGAATTTGAAGTCCCGTTCCCCTGACTGTTAAAATGGGAGGGGACCTGGGAGAGAGATCAATTCATCTTTTGTCTTGACTGTTGAGCCCACTTCTTTGGGGGGAGAAAAGCCACCTGCTCCATCTACTCCCTCATTAGTGCTAGGGGACTCTGAACGCTTACTGTGTTCCTGGCTCTGCTAAGTCCATTATACATGATCCTGTTTGGTGCCATTAACAACCCTACAGGGTAGATGCTAATTATTAGACCCACGCAACAGAGGAGGTTGTTATTGAGGTGAGGTACTCTGGCTCTAGAGTAAACTCTTCTCGCAAGATAATCTACTAATTTTATCAGGGTTAACAAGGGCACATGGTCTCTATTACTCTTGGGAACGTTATCTGTAACTTTACTTCTGCTTCTTTTTGGTGGTATCCATCACTAGTTTCTCCTTGTCCCCAAGAACAACAGTGGACATTGAAGGTATGGAAGCTATTGAACAATAGGCCAGTAGAGTTTCAACACTGCAAGGCGTCTTCAGTCTTCAGGCGTCAAATCGCCCAGTAGTTTTATAACAATGGGACATGACCTGTTCAGTGGGTTGTAAAAACAACTTACTAGCACGTGATCAGTATTCCAGAAGTGAAATGAGTAAAATAGAAAATATAGAGTATATCGCACTCAGGGTGAGATGGTATCGAGAAAGTTGCCTCCATTACCTCTGTGCGCGTGTGTTCTGGGTCACCACGTAAAATGCATTTCTTACTGATGGCCATCTTTGTCCAAGTTTGAAAAGCATTGGTTTCATTAAGTAATTTTCAGATTTTGTTCCACGGCATCCATGGAAG